CAGTTTGTTGACGTAGTCCTCTCCAAAGTTGATCATCTGCTTCAGAGCAGCCAGTATCAGTGTGTCGATGTCATCATCTGTTTGGATCTCAGAGTGATAGTTCTTCACAGGAAAGATGCAGTACAGTGGAATACCTGATTTTACACTCACTATCTCCATCTAAATTTCAACAGTTTAACATTTGTTAGCATTTATTTTACTTAAAATTTACTTGAATTAAACTGTTGGTACAAAATAAATAAATATTCCAGCTAAATACTGAAAATTACCACTAGAAAAGTACCTGTTCCTTCAACGAGGTGCTCTTATACACATTTCGTATATTTTTTTTGACTTCTGGACAGGCTTCATCAATTTTGGTGAGAATTGCCATTTGGGGAATTCCTGTCAATACACAGAATATCAGAGCTGAAGTGATGTTTGTCAGCTTATTTAATTCATTTTGGGTTTATCCTATAACCACACTTGGCTCTTACCCATGTCACTGGCTGCAAGTCTGACAGTCCTCATCTGTTTTATTATATCATCACTCATAAGTTTTATTTTGTTGGCATCGATCACAGACACTAAAACATGAACTTTGTCATTTAGAGTGGGCTCCTTGTTGTACTTATGATCGTGTTCGGATAATGAAGATTGAGGATTGAACTGGAAAACAATGAAGTTAATTAAACTAAACAAGTATACGCAAATGTTTCACACACACATATACACATATGTATGTATATACATATTTGTATGTATGTATATATATATATCTATATACACACACGTGTTTTTGGAAATCTAACTTTTAAATACACCGTATGTGTTATTTAAAGGCATAATTAAATTGTGTCATTGGATACACCATCAAATAGTGTCTGCAAAAATGCCTTAAACTTCATGATACCGTGTAACCATCCTTCACGTGCCCATTCATGGCCAGTATGATGTCTTCCACCATAACTCCTGTGTCCTTCTCAAGGCCCATGATGTCGGTGAAGGCAAAAGGATAAAAAGTTCCTAGGCTTCTGTTGTGGATTTTGAAAGTTTCATACTGTAAAACAGAAGGTTTTAACGATTCTGATAACAGGGTTACCTAATCATTGAAGACTACAAAGCTGGTTTCTGGTTTAGTATAAGGCTGATATCTGTAAGAACAACTACGGAGAAAAGTAAAGTGAAACTAAACTTCAGACAAAGATTCAAGAAGCAAAAAATAAAAAAAACCCCATCTGTCACGCAAGAGCAGACCACATCCTAAGACCTCTAAGTGCTAATCTTTACTGTGCTGTAGTGGAAAAACAAGTGAGCTTGGCTCTACGTGCAGCTTTATAGCCGTTTAGTTTCAGTCCACTAGTTTTGTTACAAATTGCATGACTTTTGTTTAACAAATTGCACAAAATACACGAGCTTGACTAAACCATACTAGAATTAAAACATACTTTTTTAGTGAAGCTCTTTCCAGAAATTCCATCTGCCAAAGCATTTGTGGCCATTCTGCCTTGTAAAAGAGCATCAACTGAGTTGATGAAGCTGGACTTGCCGGCACCAACGGGTCCATGAAGAAGAATTCTGAGGTGCTGGAGCTCAGAGTTATGAGGCTGGTAATTATTTATGCTTGGGAGATCATTGGTTTTGCCACTGTTCAAAGAAGAATATTTATGAAGTTAAAGTCAAGAAAGTGAAACTAATAGTGGTGCAGATACAGTGGTGAGACTATGCTATGAACACCAATGAGAATGGGAAATTCAGCTGACAGCAACCGATTTTTGCAAGTAATTAATTTACAACATTTACGTGGCAACAAAAAGCCCATTAAGGATCAAACACTCACTTCCACTGTATTTTCCTCCATTCTTCACTTAAAGCTGAAAACATGCACAGAATTGACAAAAAAACTGAAAATACATTTTAAAGAAAGCAATGACTGATAATACGTAATTCTTTCTGATCTGTTTGACTTTTATTGTGTTATGTTTTATCTTACTCGGAGTGTTTACAGGTCGAGACTTTTGTCCTCCCATTGCTGTAAAACATTATAGCACAATAATACATCCATACATATGCATTGAAACATTTAGAACATAACACTCTTTGCCCAAAATCATTTGTGTTGTATTGTACTGTGTTGTGCTGCTCTACTCCCATGTTCTGGACCAGAAAACAGGGTTTGATCTTTCGTTTCACTCTATAATACTGAAGTCATTTTTGTACGAAGGTTTGAACTTTGAGAGCGTTTAAACAAGAGAGAAATGTGAAAATGTTGATGCCTGTCTGAGAAAAATGTATAAAGCATGTAGTGAGGGATTTTACAGCCTTAAAACATCTATAATAATTGTAAAAAATAAAGTTCGCTACTTCGCGGATTTCACCTATCGTGGGTTATTATTAAAACGTAACACCCGCGGTAAACGAGGGAACACTGTAATTTCATTAAATCATTACTCACCTACAAAGAAAGTCTAATATTGTTTTCTTTTGTCTTTAAAATTTCACTGGAAAATAGAAAATAGAAATAAAAGGTTGAGAGAGAAAGAAAGGAAGCAATTTTAGGTAGCACCACCAAATATGACTAAATAACAATAATAAATTACACTGTTGTGAAAAAATTACAAATACGACAGAGGTGCTCATCACTGTTATATGTTCAAGTGCATAGTGTGGAGCATGTCATAAGGCCTTGAGGCAATTAGATGTAAAACACAATATTTATGAATTTTTTAATTTGTAAATTGGTCATATTTGACCCGAATACGACAGAATATTTGGTATACATATTCAGTAATGCGCATATATTTATTCTTATAATTCTCATATTCCTATTCTTATATTTTGCCTTGTTCTTGTGTTTCTTGTATTTTGCACACCTCTGTTGCTGTTGAAAAATGAAACATTTTTAGGTAGCACCACCAATTGTAACTGAATAACAATAATCAATTACATTGTTATGGAAAAAAATTACAAATGTATAAAAAGGAATAGAAAGACTAGAAAGAAAATGTAACTTCATTGAAATTCAAAGAATAATGTCAAAGTTATTCTGAAAGTCATTACCTTCTCCTGTGTGGCTCTGGACTGTCTGACTGCAGTGGGGGCAGACAGAGCTCATTTATACTGTTCTTGCTACTTTCACCTTTCTTATCATAGTTTTACTTTTACTTTCTTTTTTATTGATGTTGACTCAGTTTACTGTATACCCCATTATTTGACTTCACATCACTGGAACTTTCACTACTTTTCACTTAAGATAAGATAACATGAGATGAGATAAGATGAGATAAGATATGTGGAAATATGCAAGACATAAATAAAAGTATTCTATCACTGCTATTACTATGTAAGTAATAGATGTCTACAAATATCTATAAGTATAGACATGTGCATGCACACACACGTCCATACTAAATATACATATGCATATATACACATATATCGATACCTGCACACGTCCATACATATAAAAGGTGCATGTGCATGAAGTATCACCATGGATATGCAAGGGAGCGGTCTCTTCGCTGTAACTTTCTTTTGCATGTTTAGAAACCACAAGTTTCTGCTTTTTTGCACCTATAGAGCAACTTGAGAAGAGGTTGCGCCATGTATGGTGTGACAGGAGATGACACACACACAGACACACTCGCTCACATACGCTTGCCTTGTCACGTATTTAGCTGAACTGTGTGTAAGCCAGTGGTTTGGACGTGCTTGAGAGGCTGTCATACGTGGTTTACCAACC